ATATGTTGGGAAGAGGTGGGTGATAGAAAGTTGTTCGCCTTATATCTTGTTGAAGAGACTACAACTAAGATAGTTAAAATCAGGAAGAACATCCAGACAGTTCATAACAGACATAAGAGTTATACAGACACACAGAAGAGGGATTTGAAATTTGAAAAAGGTGTGTTTCTTAAGGTCACCCCTTTCAAGGGAATCAGTAGGTTTGACAAGAGAAGAAAATTAAATCTCTGATTCATCGGGTCATTTAAGATCTTAAACAGGATTGGTATGACCGCCTACAAACTGGCACTACCTTCATAGCTATCCAGGGTTTATAATATGTTCCACATATCCATACTATGCAAGTACAATCTGAACCTCTCACACATCCTATCCCACGTTCCCCTTTCACTTCATGATGATCTATCCTATGAGGAGGTATCGGTAGACATTATAAACTGAAAGAGTAAAGCACTTCACAACTAAGAAATTCTCTTTGTCAATATTTTATGGCAGAACCATATGCAGGAATAGGCCACTTGAGAACTAGAACCAAGCTTCAGGGCCTAGTACCCTCAGCTGTTCGACTGAGTAAGAGAATGACCAATTTAAGGGACCAAATTTTCTTAAGGGGGAGAAAGTTGTAATACCCTACCCCAAAAAGTGGTTCGAAAAATTTTTTTCTTATTAAATTATTTTATTAAAATAATTATTTAATCTATTATATTTTTATTTATTGAAGTTTTGAGAAAAAATAAATTAGGACGATATTAAAAATAATTTTGTAAAAAATATGTAAAAATTTGAGTTCGGATGATGTTTTTGAAAGAAAAATTAGAAATATGGGGTCAAAGTACAAAAATAAAAATTTGGCCACGTGCGACGACCCAGTCAGCGACCCCAACAAACCAAAGCACGCCGCATGTCAAAACATGCTGATGTCGGCGCCACATAGGAGGCTACGTAGGCAATTCGCGTACCCAGCGATCCGACGGTCTAGGTTCGATCCTACGCACTTGAATGACTCAGATTCATTCCCTCCTTAGGAGTGATCAGACGAACGAGATCAATTAAGATGAACAATCCAGATTTACTCACGTAATTGGCCTAAACAGGCAAAGACCAAACGACCTTCCTCGCTCTACGTCGATGCGAATGGACAATCCAGATCAATGCGGAATGGGTATAAATACGTTGCGTCATAGGGAAACCTAAACTCTAGCCGTTAGCCCATGCTAGAGAAAAAAAAACCAGACGCTGGAGAAGAAGGTCGATCGCCAACTGCCAAAAAAAATATAATTTTTTCCTACCCACTCAAAATTTAATTTTGGGCCTCCTTGTGGCCATATCAAAATAAGAGGGATGACGGGTGAGCCAGAAACTGTTGGCAAAGCCTAACAGAGCCGTCATGGCCAAAACTCAAAAATTCATCTGATGAGCCCCTTCCTACTTCCTATTTCACACGATTTTTTTTTATCTTTGTGTTCACCATCATTTTCTATGCAGATTAGCTGAAAATGGAAGCCCAACCATGAAGGAGGACCAACCCCTCCACCGATAGGTTTTGTTTTTTTTGTAATTTTTCGGCCAACTAAGACCTTTTAATGTGTTTTTCCACAGAGATATGTATAAAACTAGCCAAAATCGACTAGACCAAGGCGAACTACCGTCATGGACGATAGAGCCAGCGCCGAAGCACGACGGTGCTGCCATGCCGGAACTCCAAAATTGATCGAAAAGAGTTTTGGACACCGATTTGAGATTTTTAGAGTATTTCTAGGTATGTGACGAGTGTTCTGCATTCCACATAAAAAATTCAAAAAATCCATGACCTATTAGGAGGCGTAGTAAACAGTACGGCGTCTCAAAACACCATTCAAGTAAAGATTTCTCACCCTATTCTCTATTACAATAAATTAAGGTTTAACGATGTATAATTTTATAATTTTATAAAAAAATTAGAAAATCTTAAAAATAATTATATATTACTAGTAGAATCGGAACCGGTTAGTTCATAATTATATTGATTTTCTGTTTATTTTCCTATACTACTCTACTTGCTTGTTGTTATATGATGCATGTTCTTTATTTATAGTTTCTATGGTCTTATCGATTTATCTGTTTTATTCGATTATCTACTACTCAATCCTTGTTATGATCAACTATATTGTCTGTATAAATATCATTTAATTGATATGTAAATATAATATGAGATATTGGTATGCGTTTGTTAGTTATTTTGTTGATGAAAATCTTTATGTGAAACATTTATTAGGTACCCAGGGAAAGGGTGGACGGGTCTGATACATAAAAAACCCTACCATGAACATTATCTTAGTCGAACCGGGCTAAAAAGTCCCTTACTGGAAAGGTTTGAGAGATACAGTTCACCCTCACGCCGAACGAGGTATCAAGGTGACGAAATGTTTGACTTTCATTACCAGACGGGATATAGGGACGACCGGTTAATTGTTAAAATTGAATATTTAGTTTACGAGTAAGAAGACATCCCTATGAACTCCCAAGGGTACTAATAAGCAAGTAAGAAAGAAAAATTGTCTTCTCTTATTCACTTATGCGTAAAAATGAAAAGTTGTATGGATATGAGTGTTCATATGTTGATTTTTGGAAAACTCGCAACGGTGAATGTCTAATAAATATTTTAAAGATAAATGTATTTAATTGAAACAAGAGCTCCATTAATTATTTTTTTCTAATTTTAATCGATCTTCAGTTTTTCGTGTCAATAAGCAGTGTGATATCTTTTGTTGGGCTAGTGTAGCTCATCCTTTCATTAATCATTTTAGATCAGAGAATCAGGATTCAGGTCCCGATCAGAAAAGTTGTGAGTAATTTACCTCTCGAACTCTATTGAAGAGCTAATGGAGGTTAACCCTAGGACATTTATCTACTTGTTTTAAATCATTTATTTGCTTTTTTTATAAACCACTGTAGTAGAAACATTCCCGTAACCCTATTGAACTTTCTAATTTACTGTGTAATGAATGTGAATCTTAATGTATTATTCGTTTCCGCATTTAATTTATAAATTCATTTATTTTAAAGTTTCAGGCATTTACATTAATGATTATAATAATTTATCTAGAATTTTAACAGAATAATGAAGATTTTTAATATTTTTAACATATTGTTACAAGATTTTTAATTTATCTTATAATAATAAATATAGCTTGTAACTTTTGGAACTAAAAAAAAAAAATTATAAATCAATTATCATAGAATTTCAAATTCAATATTTATTGTGTTTTTTTTTTTTTCTAAATAGTTGGGCATGAAATAATTGGTACCACCTCATGTAGTACAAGATCCAAAAACTTTTGATACTATTTTCCAATTAAAGATAATAACTCTCTTATGGGTAGCATTGGATAATTGGAAAAAAATTATTCCTCTTGTATTTAGAGTGACAATGATCATCATGCTATAATATCAAATAGTTAATATGAAACAAACTTTAAATATATATATATATATATTTTCTATTCATGTATTTGAAATAAACATTTCAAGTCATCAACTGATGCAAATACTTTTCATTCTATTAAACAATATTTCATGTGCATCATATTTTTTTTAAATATAAACTTAATATAATAAAAAAATAATATTTTCTGAACCTCTTAAAATAAATATTTTATCATCTTTTGATAAAGTCGTTTCCGATTTTTATGAAATAGCTATTTGAAATTGAAAGATAAATCGAAAAAATAATAAGAAAAAGAGAGAGATCTCTTAGAAGTAATGTACTCGTGTGTGATAAATTTTAAAAAATAAAAATTAGTTATTCTCATAAATGCTCGCTAAATTATTGTGTACACACGAAAATTTTATCATCGACTTATTAAAAGTTTAAAAAATAATATAAAAATAAAGAAAAAAACGATGATCATAAGATCAAGAGAAAGTTTCTGTCTACCATGACCTCCTTGAGTCAATCTCTTACCATTTAAAACTTTCTTCCTATGAAATTGTCTTCTTGATTAAGAGAAGACAGAGGGGTGATTAAAAATTAAAATAAAATAAAAATTTTATGCGAAACAAACAAAAATTATGGTAAATAATTAGAAAATCATAAATTTAAATTATAAAGAATATATATATATATGTATGTATGTATAGGTTGGTTTTGGAGTATGCCGATTGAAACATTCCATGGATTCCTTCCAATCTCCTTATTTTCGAATTTCATTAGAAATGGTATAAAGACAACTCCTATTTGATATAGCTA